TGCGTTGGCTGAAGGAATTCTATAGGCGACATCGCGCGCTTAGGGGCGAGGTCCTGCTTCATCGCAGGGCCTGGGCCTCAGAGACCGAAGAACATTGACTCTGTCAATAGCATATGGAGGGTTTTTTTTTTTTTTAACTGTTTTTATTGATTTTAGAGAGAGGAAGGGAGAGGCACAGAGAGAGAGTGGCACAGAGAGAGAGAAACGTCAATGATGAGAGGGAAACATATGGGCTGCCTCCTGCCCGCCCCCTAGTGGGCATCTAGCCCCCAACCGGTCCCAGTGCACTGATAGGAACTGGACCGTGGCCTCCTGGTGGACAGGTCACAGCTGAGAGAGAGAGAAACATCAATGATGAGAGGGAACATAGACCGGCTGCCTCCTGCCCGCCCCCTACTGGGCATCTAGTCCCCAGCTGGTCCCAGTGCACTGATAGGAAGTGGACCGTGGCCTCCTGGTGGACAGGTCACAGCTCCATGCTCAGCCACTGGCCACATGGAGCTCATAAAAGCACTCCTGGTGCGGTCAGTGTCTGCCCGGGGCTGTGAGTCATCAGGCAGATCCCAGGTGCGGTGCCTCAGTCTCCCCATTGTGCAGTCGGGGCCGGGACAGAGCAGGTGCTTAAAGGAAGCTTTGAGGTGAGGGAATGAGAGCCAGCTGCCGAGCGGAGAACCGCTTCAAGGGAATGCGTCTCGCCAATAACGGTCCCGCTGGGGGTTATATTCAGGAATAAAATAACCTAATCTAAGAAATGAGGTCAGGACCAGTTCACTGAGCACCAGCGAGTTTCAGGCCCTGGGACAGGAAGCCCAGGACTTCCCAGCCACGGTCCAGGAATGGGCGCCTGTGTCAAGGGTGATACTGTGTAAACCTTTCCTGTAGGTTTGAGGTTAAGGTTACTTACCCTCTGGCCCAGGCCCATCTTAAGGCCCTGACGCCAGGCCCACCCCATCTGCAGGTGGCTTTGCCAGGTGGCTCTCTGGCGCCCCCTGGTGGCGGCTCCGTCCTGCCTGTGGAGGTGCAGGCTGACCTCTGCCCAGGGGTAGATGCACCAGCCACTGCTCAGGTGGAGACTCCCTGGTCCCTGGGCTGCTGGCCGCAGGGGAGAGGGACGGGCTCCTCTCTGTGGCCCCTGACCTCCTCCACCTGGCAGGGAGGCTCAGGTCACCCACTAAATGGTGAAAACAAAGGGAGCACAGCCAGCAGCCTCAGGGAAGGAGGGGAGCCTGGGGGGCTGAGGGTGGGAGGAGCTGGGTCAGGCCCTGCCCTGTGGGAGAGTCAGGTGTGATCCAGGACACTGAGCAGGGGCGGTGGGGAGTGGGGGCAGGGCGGAGGTAGGGGGGCTCTGGGCTGCAGCCCTGTTCCCGTCTGAGGTGTGGAACTTGGGGTGGAGTGGGGGTCGCTGGGTGATGAGGAGGGTTCCAGGTAACCAGTCAGGAGGTCTGGGAGCAGCTGGGCACATCCACTGCCCGAGGGTCCCCAGGAAGGCTCCCTGGGCAGGGACAGGTGAGAGGCAGGGGGCTCAGACACACCTCCGGCTGCTCCCTGCTCCTGGTGGGGGGCGGGGACTGAAGACACTTAGGGAGACAGTTGCTAATCTCCCAGCTTTCTGCCCTCCACACAGCCCTGTGGGGACCCAACTGCTGCTTGTGCCTCTGGTTCTGATCCGGCTCCTGCGGGCCCCTGTGGGTGACCCACCCCACATTCCTGCAGGTCTCCCCGCCTGGCTGGCCTGGCCCCACCACAGAGGTGGGGGGGGGAGCGCTTGGCCCAGAAAGGAGGGCCGCGAGGTGAGTGCTGTTCACCGTGGAGGAGGGGAGCGGAGGACAGGGCCTGGGTGGTCTGGGTTCCATAGATGACCAAATGGCAAACTGTTAGTGACAGGGTCAGAAACAGAATCCTGGGGACCAGCTAGAATTGTGAGAAATGGGAATCCTGCCCTGTTCACCGTGACTGCTTTGTTCTGATTAAAGGAGGCACCTTCTCACCTGGCTGGGACTGCACCTGGGACCCGGGAGCTCACCTGGGAATGCCACCCATCCTCCCCATCAGGGAGCTGCCTGTGATCATGGGAAGATGACCCGCCTGGTTGCAGAACCCAGAGCCGCCAGCCCTTTGCCTACCCACAGGCCTTTGCAAATCTCCAGCCCCCATTGCCTGTGAACCGGCTCCAGGAGGGACAGGCAGCGCGGCCCATGGAGGGTCCCATTACTCTGCCAGGAGACAGTCCCCAGGCAGGACCCACAGTGGTGTCTGCACTTCCTCCCTCATCATGTGAAACCTCAGGACAGGAAGAAACCCGGGCAGTAGGGGCTGGGTCTCAGGGCCTCTGGGGGTCCCCACAGCCAGTGAAATGTGGGAGTGTCTCATCCAAGATCCCCGACGGCACAGCCCCTGGGCCTCCACCCGCTGTTTCTACCCAAGAGGAAGGGGCTTCGCCCGGGCTGCTGGGCCACCTCTCTCCTCGCTCACATGACAGCTGATGCCATGAGGGACGGGGGAGGAGATTCTAAGGCTGTTGTGTCTATGAGGCGGCCAAAAGCCCTGCTCAGAGCTGCCCCTCATCCACCATTTCCATC